GAAGCTGTCAGTGAGTCTCTCCCCTAGAAAGACCATGAGATGCTACCATAGAACAAGTTTCCTTTGTGAGCTACACCAAGGCCCACGTGCTTCTGGTCTATTTGCAGCTAGAGGGAAGACTTAAGTACTGTGTCAGTGTCCTTCCTTGGAGTGTTCTTTCTTATGACACAGTGTTTAAATTGTCAACAAACACTCCTGCTTGAAAATTACACTTGACATTTATATTTCTATGCAAAATTGGGAAGAAGTTGGTTCATCAATGTTTCAAATAAGGTAAGAGAACACTAATTCAGTGTCATCATAGGTCTTTCATTTCTGTCCTGAGTGAAATGATAAAAAGGGACAGGAAATTTCCCCTCCCAGGACAGCTGTGAATGGTCAGGTGAAGAACAGCACAAGGAGGCAGAGGCTGGAAGCTGAGCAGGTGATACCTGGCATTGTGATTTTTATGCAGTAAAGGGTAAGTGGAAGATGTGACCCATCCCTGTGTCTTGGTGTCCTGTGACTTCTGCTTCACTGTTCATTACGAGTGAAATTCCTACCCTGTTGAGAGATGGGAGACAGCCCCACTTTGGTAGACCATGAAGCAACTGCACTGGGTGAGAAGCTATGGGAGGGTGGGGTGGGTCCAAAGCAAAGAAGACAGCCCCTGCCCTCCCAGAACTCACCATGTAGGAGACAGGAATATACCAAGACTATCAGCCTTCTCAGGGTCAACGTCCACAAGGACATTGAAACTAGAGGGTGTCAACAAGAGAAACATCCTAACATCATAGGTAAGAAGATTAATTACACCATGCAAATACTAATAAAAAAAAAGTTGGCATAGCTATACCAATGCCAGACAAAGTAGACTGTAAGGGAAAGAGTGTTTCATATATTTTATATCCTGCACACCCCAACTGGAGCCGAAATGTTTCTGCTCTGTGACTTCTGGCCACTCTGCCTTCTCTGATCTGCCCTGGGGTGTGAATGTCAAGCCAGATCGTGGCTGTCCGCTTTGCCCATCCGTCCTACACTGTTAAAAGGAGGGAGTTCTGCCTCAACCCTGAACCTTAGGTTTTCGCTTTCATCTCTCACCCACTGCATTACCAACTCCTTCTCCTGCTCAACAAGTTTTTCTTGAGTTCCCACGCTATTCCAGGTATGTCTGGGAACGAGATAGATGGATCCCTGCTCTCCTGGGAATTGACAGTATAATGAGGAAGAGAAACAAGCAGCGACTAAAGAGTCTGAGGTAAACGTGTGGTCATTGCTATTACTTTTGAGTGCACAGGGAGCTCTACTGACCTATGACAAGGGGTTCCTGATTTTAGCTGTTTCCCACCAGGGATCCAACCACCAAGCCAATTACCACTGGCTCTTCCGAAAAGATGCCAGTAGAGGATGAAACCCTTGACAATCAGCCCCAGGAGGTGTAAGAAGGATAACAGCCCTCTCTTGAATAACTGCTTGATGTTTCAGGCTGCTCAAGTCAACTCTAACTCAGATGTCTGCTGCTCCTAGACTCTTGAGAAGTGACTACCATCCCCATCCGACACCTCTGGGGAACGCTTGGCTCCGCTCAGGGGGCTGATTGTAAAGTCAGCCCCAATGTGGGGCCTCAGCACCCAGGTCTGCAGGCCCTGGGCCAGAAGGAGGAACCTGTGTTCTGGCTTGAGGTGACAAACTGCAGAATCAGTTTGATCTGGTAATTGATTTTGAAACACCTGGGTACAGGCCAGGTGGCAGAGTCCCATGAGGGAGTAAGGGCCTCTCTAGCCAAAGCTGAGTGGATGGATGGAAATTGTCGGGCAGGGGTTGTGGCTGATTTTACATCATGTAACTTGCTGAACATCAGATAACAGGCCTCATTGAAAACTGGCTCATGCCTTTAGGCGGCTTCTTTCATACCTTCTCAGAAAATCCTGTAAATCAGGGCCCTGAATGGCTGCAGGGCTTCTGAATTCAGCCAAAGTCAGTTCCCTTCCTGTCTTCCCCAGGCTAGGTTTCAGGGTGGATGCTAGACTCTTTAGTACCTTTTGCAAATTAGTACACAATTTTACTAATTGTCCACTAGACAGACACAGTCCCAAGGATGTATGGCTTGTTAAGGGGAGTGAAGGCTGGGTTTCAGGTCACTCTTACTGCCTTAGCAGGATGTGCTGTGAAATGTACAACCTGTGTAACCGTGCATGTCAGCCTTGCTGAGCTTTATGATGTCCAAGGACAGTTTCTATCATCCCTCCTTAAAATATGCACCTTGGGGGCTTCCCTGGTGGCGCAGTGGTTGAGAGTTTGCCTGCCGATGCAGGGGACACGGGTTCGTGCCCCGGTCTGGGAAGATCCCACATGCCGCGGAGCGGCTGGGCCCGTGAGCCATGGCCGCTGAGCCTGCGTGTCCGGAGCCTGTGCTCCGCAACGGGAGAGGCCACAGCAGTGAGAGGCCCGCGTACCGCAACCAAAAAAAAAAAAAAAAAAAAATGCACCTTGCAAGGACAGAGTTAGCATCAGACCCAAGGGGATGAGTAAGTAGCAATCAGAGAACAAAAGGTAGTAATCCAGCTTCAATTCCACTTCCCTGGCGAAGCCTTCAGTTTTAGGGGCACCAGAAATGATTCTGGATCCTGAACTGGTACCGAAAAACCACAGAGACTCTGATAGGACACCCAGAAGGCAGGGCAAGTTTGGGGTTTCAAAGTCCAAACTAACAATCAGTTGTGTTGTTATTACCTCTTACTTTGTGATCCTCAACATCTTGGAGGAGGCAGCCTGGAAAGCATTTCTAGGGGAAGAAGATGAGGAGACTGGGATGGGAAAGCAAGGAGATGATGGGTGGAGCAGAGGCTGGAGGTGGTGGGAGGGAATGGGGCAAACATATAGGGGAAGGGGCGCAACAAGAAAAAAGAAGAGAGGGTAAGCGGGGGGTGGGGGGGACGGAGGTCAGTTGTAGAGCAGGGGGATGAGGAATCTTGGCTGGATAACATTCTATCTTTCTCAGGTTGAAGTCAGTACAATCCAGAATGCTGAAGGGGCTTAAGGTCTAGAGTGGTAATGGAGGACCTCTCTGAGGAGGTTACATTTAGGCTAAGAGCAAAGGTTGAGAGGAATTAGTGGACATAATCATTTCAAACAGAGATTTTTTAAATTGAGTATTATTTCATGTATGAGAGACACACACACACACACACACCCCTTAAGCACATGGCTCAAAGAGTTTTGAGAAGTGAATAGAGCTGTGTAGCCCACGCTGGTGGGAGTAGAGATCAACGTTCACTTTTTTCCATACAGACATCCAGGTGTTCCTGAACCATTTGTTGAAAAGACTTTACCTTCCTCACTGAGTTGCTGTCATACTTCGTAAAAAATTTACCGGTCATACAGTTCTGGGTCTATTTCTGGATTCTCCTCTATTCCATTGATATATTTGTCTATCTTATGCCAATACCATGTGCTTTTTCTTTTTTCCCCCTCTTTTTCTGTCTTTATTTTTGACCTCCTTTTTTCAACTTGACTATATTCTACTTCAATTCCTTTGGTGGTTACTCAAAATTTTAACAGGTACACTTAAGGGTTTTTTCTTTTTTAAATAAATTTATTTATTTATTTTTGGCTGCATTGGGTCTTTGTTGCTGCGCACGGTCTTTCTCTAGTTGCGGTGAGCGGGGGCTACTCTTCGTTGCGGTGCACGGGCTTCTCACTGCCGTGGCTTCTCTTGTTGCGGAGCACAGGCTCTAGGTGTGTGGGCTTCAGCAGTTGTGGCACGTGGGCTTAGTAGTTGTCGCTTGCGGGCTCTAGAGCACAGGCTCAGTAGTTATGGCACATGGGCTTAGTTGCTCCACGGCATATGGAATCTTCCAGGACCAGGGATTGAACCCGTGTCCTCTGCATTGGCAGGCGGATTCTTAACCACTGTGCCACCAGGGAAGCCCCTGGTGTTATTTTTTAAACCAGATAATTAGACTATTTACAATCAATGCATATTTAAAAATTTTAAATAATTACACAACTTACAATCAATGCACACGTAGACTGTCCAATCAATTTTTGCTGATTTCTGTCCTCACTAATTCTTCTTACATGACACAACATCTGTCTTTATTTTCCTAGTTCCATTTTTTAATACTTTTTTCAGGGAGGGTCTGTGAAGAATAATAGCTCTTGATCTCTGGGTTTCTGAAAATGAATTTCAATCCAGAGTTCTATGCTCAAATGAGCTATCATCACGAGTGATTCCATTTCTGGGCATGAGTTCAAGGTCTAGTTCCCAAAGGATTTATCTTATAGACAGCCTCACATGAGTCACACAGCTGTTTTCTTCTTCTTTTTTTTAAGACAATTTTTTAGAAAGAAGTTTTAGGTTCATAGCAAAGTTCAGGGGAGAGTACAGAGATTTGTAATATAACCACTGTCCCCACACATACATAGCCTCCCCCACTATCCATATCCCCCACCACAGTGGTACATTTGTTACAAATGATGAACCTACATTGACTCATCATAATCACCCGAAGTACAGAATTTGCCTCAGGTTTTTACTGATGTCATACATTCTACGGGTTTGGATAAGTGTGTAATGACATGTATCCACCACTGTAGTATCGTACAGATAGTTTCACGGCCCTAAAAATCCTCTGTGCCCTGCCTATTCATCCGCCCTTCCTCCCTCCCCTGGCAATCACTGATCTTTTGACTGTCTCCATAGTTTTGCCTTTCCCAGAATGTCACAGAATTGGAATCATCCAGTATGTAGCCTTTTCAGATTGATTTCTTTCACACAGTAACGTACATTTACGTTTCCTCCCTATCTCTTCATGGCTTGATAGCTCATTTCTTCTTGGCACTGAATAACATTCCATTGTCTGGATGGACCAGTTTATTTATCCCTTCACCTACTGAAGGACATCTTGGTTGCTGCCAAGTTTGGGGAATCATGAATAAAGCTGCCGTAAACATCTGTGTGCAGGTTTTTGTGTGGACATATTTTCAACACCCTTGGGTAAATACCAAGGAGCGTGACTGCTGGATCAGATGGTAAGAATGTATTTTAGTTTTGTAAGAAACTGCCGAATTGTTTTCCGAAGTGGCTGCACCACTTTGCATTCCCGGGCCACACGGTTCTGATTTCTGCTTGTTGCTGGGGCTAAGTTCCCCTGCTGGCCACGGGAACATTTTGTCTTTTGTTTTGAGGTTTGGCTATATGTTTTTAAACTTGGGGCGTAGTCGTCTGCATCTGTTTAGTCCTCCATCTTGGGCAGACTTGTTTACACTCAGGAACAAGCACTACCGAGACAGAGGACAAAGCAAGTGTACAAACCCTACTGAGGAGAGAGGTTTGGAGAGAAGGCCGTCTGATTGTATGGTCATAAGAGACTGAGAGCTAATAAGGTGAGATTACAAAGGCAGGTCTGAACCACACAGGGCCAGGGTAAGGAGTTTTGAGTTTATTCCCAGTGTGGTGGAAAACCATAGAAACGTTTTAAGTAGAGAAAGTGACATGATTGATTTCGAGATTTAAAAAGTAATTTGGCATTTATTGCTGGCTTTCTCATTCTCTTTACTTATCTAGCTTCTGAGAGCTCCTGATTTTACTTTCATATACATATGGCTGTTTCCACAGCCTCCAAGCATTTACATTTTGAGAATGCCTTCCAAAATATAAATAAAAGTTTCCAACATTAGTCTGCAGAAAAGAAGAAATCATGGTAAAGAACTGGACTAATACTGGGTTATAAATTGCATGACTCAAAGGAAGCAAAAATGTAATTTGCATTAGTTTTAGCCAAATCTTAGTAAATTAAAATATATCAAGTAATTATTTAATAAATGCAGTGCAAGAAAAAGAGTGAGATGGAGTAGGGAAACTATAGATTAAAAGACACTTGAGAGAAATATCAATGAGTGATTATGTGGAGAACTTATTTGGATCTTGAATTAAGCAAACCGTAAAAAAAAAAATATGACATTTGTTAGATAGTTGAATTGGATATTTTATGATATTAAGAAAATGTTACTTTACATGTGATAATAGTTATTTTAAAAGCCCTTATCTTTTAGACATATATACTAAAATATTTTCAGATGAAATGGTATGACATGATATTTCATTCAAAATAATATAGAGTGGGGTAAGTGGATGGAAGTATAAATGTAACAAGATGGCTGTAAGTAAGTTGTTGAAGCTGGAAAATGGGTACATGGAAACTTACGATACTATTCAGTCTACTTTTTTGTATAGATTTGAAATTCCGCAATAAAAATCTTTGAAAGAAATTTGCCATCTTTAAACATTCAGTAAGAAATATGAATGTAATCAATACAAATTTTCTAGATAAAAGTCTGTGATCCTTCTCCTTTCCAATCATTCTTTTCTTGATTTTATGTATTATCTATCTATCTATCTATCTACCTACCTATCTATCATCTATCTGTCTGCCTGCCAATCTACCCATACATTGTCAATAACAATTGTTCCAAAGTCTGACTCAGAGTTGCTGTCTCAATTTGGGTTCCCCCAGAAGCAGACCCTGAAATGAAGGTTCAAGTGCAAGCAGTTTATTTTGGAAGTGCAGGAAACGTGCAAACAACATGGATAAATCTCAAAACATTATGCTGAGCAAAAGAACCTGGGTACAAAAAAATACGTACTATAAGATTCCACTTATATGAAATTTTAGAACAGGCAAAACTAACATAATGTGGCAGAAACAGATCAGTGGTTGCCTAAGACAGGAGATCAGGAATTGACCACAGGGAGGAATGAGGGAATTTCTAGGGTAGATGGAAGCAGTCTACATCTCCATTGTGGTGATGGTTACCCAGGTGAATACTTTTGTCAAAAGTCATCAAACCATAGATTTAAAATGGTTGCATCTTATCACATACACATTATACCTCAATGTTGACTAAAAACAGAAATTCCCTTTACCAGTTGATAGAGTGTCAAAATAAAAGAGACATATAAAATGACCTGACCTTTTAACAGAGTTACTTTTAAAATCTTCAGCTTGAAGCCAATCTCTTCCTTGGCCCCTTCTCAGGGAAGTTCAGTGAAGAAACAGCTTTCCATACTTCCTCCACCTCTTCATTTTCTTCCTAAGGAAGAAAGCATTTATTCCTCATCAAGGAAATGAAGAGTGAATTTATATTCGATTTTTTACATTCAGAGTTGATTTAATACGAATTAGAATTTTTGGAATAAGACAGTACTAATTCTAACACTTTTAAGTATTAAAGCCAATAAGCTTCCAACACGCATAATTCACATTCACGAGACGGCTTTTCTTAGCTTCGTAATTATTACTTCCTCACACCTTTGGAATCACTGGCATCTATTTCTCATTTTTTTGTAATCTCTTCATCTGGGAGAAGTAAGCTCAGGGAGACTTGAGGCATTTCTTAGTTTTGCTCTTCTGCTCCCAGCTATAAACACTTGGAAACATACAGTTTCTGATTTGAAAATTACTGACTGCCAATCCATGGATGCTGGAGGGTGTTTTGAAACCCTCTGCCGCCACCCAGCTGTCTGCCTCGTCATGAGGACACGTGTTTCAGCCTCACTTTCTTTCACCAGCGAGCCTTCTGGCCCAGTGGTTTCCTACTCGATTCCTGCTGGAAGCTCTAGGGCTTCTGCTACTTTTGCTACAGAGGATAGAATTCACCTCAGAATTTTACATTTGGCCATATGGATTGTAATGTCTAAGAATCCAGATGCCAGCTTTCCCAGAATCAAGGGCATAGAGGCCATAATCTGTTGAACAGTTCTGAAATCAGCTACAGTCTTACCACAAGCTTGTGCAATAACTACCATCCTGCGTAATAACTGGCCAGCCAGCAACCTAACATTCTGGGATTATTTGCTTCCCTTCAAATTTCTCTCCAGCAATATCTGCACTGCAGTTTATCCCACAGAGTTGATTTCTCCCGGCTAATTCGGAGAAACATGTTTTTTCCCTTTCCAAACCTTATTATCCAATTTACAGTGGTAGGAGGTATTCACAGGGATTCAAGAAAAGATTCCCAACCCTCTCACACTGTTGGTGGGAATGTAAATTGATACAGCCACTATTAGGAACAGTGTGGAGGTTCCTTAAAAAACTAAAAATAGAATTACCATATGATTCAGCAATCCCACTCCTGGGCATATATCCAGAAAACATGAAAACTCTAATTTGAAAAGATACATGCACCCCAATGCATGTATGGCAGCGCTATTTACAATAGCCAAGATAGAGAAGCAACCTAAATGTCCGTCGACAAATGAATGGATAAAGAAGATATGGTACCTATATACAATGGAATACCACCCAGCCGTTAAAAAAGAATGAACTAATGCCATTTGCAGCAACATGGATGGACCTAGAGCAGGGGTCCCCAATCCCTGGGCTGAGGACCGGTATTGGTCCACGGCCTGTTAGGAACAGGGCCACACAGCAGGAGGTGAGCCGCAGGCGAGCGAGTGACGCTTCATCTGCTCCCCATCGTTTCCGATCACTCGCATTACTGCCTGAACCATCGCTCCTATTACTGCCTGAACCATCCCCCCTCCCATCTCTGGAAAAACTGTCTTCCACACAGCCAGTCCCTGGTACCAGAAAGGTTTGGGACCACTGACCTAGAGATTATCATACTAAGTGAAGTAAGTCAGACAGAGAAAGACAAATAACATATGATAACACTTATACGTGGAATCTAAAAAAACGATACAAATGAACTTATTTACAAAACAGAAATAGACTCACAGACATAGGAAAAATACTTATGGCTACCAAAGGGGAAAGGGGTGGGGGGAAGGATAAATTAGGAGTTAGGGATTAGCAGATGCATACTACTATATATAAAACAGATAAACAACAAGAACCTACCATATAGCACAGGGAACTACATTCAATATCTTGTAATAACCTATAATGAAAAAGAATATATATATTGAAATATATAAAATATATATAATTGAATCACTTTTCTCTACACCTGAAACTAACACAACGTTGTAAATCAACCGTAATTCAATTTAAAAAAAAAAAAAAGATTCCCGGGACTTCCCTGGTGGTCCAGTGGGTAAGACTCCGCACTCCCAATGCAGGAGGCCCGGGTTCGACCCCTGGTCAGGGAACTAGATCCTGCATGCATGCCGCAACTAAGAGTCCGCATGCCTCAATTAACGGTCCTGCATGCCACAACTAAAACCCGGAGCAGCCTAAATAAATAAATAATAAATAATTAAAAAAAATATTCCCGAACTCACTGGCAGCCGGGGAAATGCAGATGAAAGAAACAAAGTGCCACGCCTTGTACAGGTTAAGATTGGCAAACGTTTTAAAGTTGGTATTTTCATTAGGTATTGCTGCATAACAAAGTGCCCCCCTTAAGATTCTTGGAATCTCTCTTACATAACAAAGAAGATCTAGGAGACATACCTTTAAATCTGACATCTCAAAATCAGAAAATGGTCTACAGCTGCATCCTTGACTTTTGACGATTTACCTGAAAATTATTCTAAGACCAAATTTTATTGACAACACTCCAGATTTGATCTTTGCATTTTCTTACTTTGAGGACCTTTTGCTTGCTAGAAAGACCACCCTTGTCCCTCACATTTCCTCTAAATTCTGCTACAAAACTAAACAGTTCCTTCTGTAGTTCATCTCTCTGGCTTTTTAAAACCATATTTACCGATTTTACCATAGGCAGCCAGAAGAAGCCATTTGTTGCTTTTAACTTTCTACCTGGGAATTTTCCCAGCCAGATCTTACCAGATGGGGTGGGCCCTGGAGTTAATTTCTGGGAAGAATCAGCCTCAGATGCCTTGCATATTCTGTTTGACAGAGAGAGTAGAATCTGGTGCCTGGAATAAATCAGAAGGGAGAAGTAAATCCCAAACTAAGAATTTTATAATTCTAACCTCCTGGGGAAGGTACTGAAATTCTACTCCATTACTCTTGAAACTTCAACTAAAGACTTTGAATTTGTGAATATATGCCTGCAGATAGAATTATCTCACAAAACAGTGAAGTATGCAAAATCTCTGAGGAGCCAATATTTATTAAATAAATTCACAGAGAGTCACTAAAAACATTTATGTGAGGCTACGTAAACAGAAAAAAAATTTTTTTTTCCATTCAATTCACTATTATCTTTAAATACCTACTTCTTTACAAAGCCCTACATGAGGGACTTGGTTTGGAACCAAAGAACAGTGAGGCATAATCCCTGCTTTGAAATTAGGTAGTATATCATAGAATATGACCTAAATGAATATGTGATGACACAGTTATACTCCAAGTGAGCACTCATCAAATAATTGCTTTTCCAATTTTTTTGTTACCATAGATTGACATGTGAAATCTTTCTTAATACGGGATCACTAATATAGAGAATACCCTATTTACGAAATTAATCGTTTATGTTGAAAACAGATTATTAATGTGAATTTAACCCATACCATCTGGAAAAAGTAAATTTAGAAAAAAGGAAATATTAAAAAAATACCAGGTAGTACAATATAATTCTGCGAGATTCTGTTTGGGAACAATTAGGGTCTTATGGGGCTAGGTTGTTTTATGCCTGTTTCCCAATTCTAGTCTTTTGCTTTCCCCTGTAGTGGGACACGAGAGAAAGAGTGTGGGCTTTGAGTTCAGTAAATCTGGGCTCATATACTGCTCTATCACTTAAAAGCTGTGTGACATCAGGTGAGTTACAGAATGTCTTTGTACCTCAGTTTCTTCATGGATAAAATGGAGGCAATAAATTATATCTCCAGTCCACAAGTCAGTGGCTGGCTGAGCCTCAGAACTCAACATTTGCTTAACAAACAAACAGTCGAATAATATCAGAAATATTCCCGGCACTTGGCTGGCATTTAATGACAAATCTTCGCATGCCTGTTGCAGTGGTATGAGTAACTGCTTCTACCTTGCTTCATTTTCCTCCAGGTAACATCTGGGTCCTCCATTACCAGCTCCCTTCTTGGTTAAATACCTGCTAGGGTTTCTGATGATCAAGTGTGGGTTTCTGCTTTGTACTCCTGAGGTAGCTCATGTTTTCTGTTACCATGGACTCCAGAATCTGGTCTATGGCTCAAACAGCACGCTTGTTATTATCCATTTTTAAGTTGTTCCCATCCCAATGAGGTTAAATGAGAATCTGAGGTGGGAGTAGCAAAGGTTCAAGGACCCATCCACTTGGCGTGGGTGTCATATGTGGTAAAGCGACATCAGGAACAATGATCAGAGCAGAGGTCGGAGATGGGGACGTGGGTGTGAGAGCTTGCCATGAGTGGGAGAGGAGGAAGACAAGTCGCCGGGAATCATAATCTGCCAATATTTGTCAGGTTGTCATCTTCATTCCCTGATGGTCTTGTTTGATCCTGCTGCAATTTTGCAACAACACACGATTACCCCTGCTACTCTTGGGCAGACAGGCTTTTCTCCCATCCAGACAATGCGGATGGAAGAGAAATTAGCAAGGGATAGCAACCAGATTAAATACGCCTTACAGAGCACAGTGTGATTTTGCATCTTTTTTCCTGGGGCAAGAGAAAACACAGGCCACATGGAAAACAAGCTAAATATGTTGGAGGGAAACTCCAGGATATAAAATTGAGCTGCTGGCTTGGAAGGTAGTATCCTCTCTGTGTAAATAGTTTCTTTGTCCAAAGAGGGCTAAACAGGGCCCATTTATGGATTAATGACTTTCATAATGATTAAAATTAAAATTAGAACTTACCGTGTAGTGAGAAGCTTATAGCTCTATAAAAACTTACAGAGACACCAAATAATTTTAGTAAACTGCTTATGGAAGGCTATGCCTACAGGGAGAGGGGAAGTCAGACCACAGACTCTCTTTTAAGAAGCTGCCAATACACCTTGGACTCAAATGAAAAGGTACCTATGTGTTCTCTGAAGCCAGGATTGGGAAAATGTAAGAGTGTTTTGGTAGGCAAGTAGAGACACTGGTATCTTCATAAAAGACATTATACATGGGAAGTTCTCTGGAGATTTTCTTGCAATTACTATTATAGCTATATCTTCTCTCCCTCCCCAAATAGCCCACTTTGATAAAGTTCGTCAACCAACTTGAATGTCAGCGAATGGCTGGTTGTATATGAGTGAAATGATGATTATCTTTTAAATTGAATTTTGTATCCATTAGCCAGTGGTATTCAGTTTTCTTCCCCAAGATCTGGGAGGGCAAAAAGTTTCAGTCGCCTGATTTGGTGGCTTTGTCTCTGTGGCATTAACCACTGAAGGGTCTGCTTCCAGCACAGACAGCTCCCTTAATGGCTGGACCACAAACATCCCTGATCCCACTGGTGGCATCCTCTTCTTAAATTGGGTGCAGGCTTCCTCAGAGACATGATCAAATGGTTGTATTTTATAGTACGATTAGAAATAAACCTGAGCATTGTGAGACTGAATACACAAATGGACAATGGCCAGACCACATATAAAAACAGAATTTTGATTCATAACCTGCAGCAACCTGCCCAAGAAATCAAACCTTTATAATAAACAACTCAGGAAGCCAGCCTGCTACAAGCCAGACTTGGCAGGAAGTCAGATGGCTATCTCCAGGGACAATCCAGGAAGCTAAAAAATAACTTTGTAACAATCAGCCCCAAATGGTCAGGACTTGGTTAATAACTGACAACTTGCTTAATTTTTCTCCCTATTTCCAATTTGGGACCAACTAGAGAAAGTAAAATACAAGACCCTAACCAATGACTTAGGATGCCCTGCTGCTAGTTGGCTGCCTATAACTTTCCCATGCCAACAGCCTCCAATCAAGGCACGCCTAACCCTTCCCTTTTTCCCACTGTAAAGCTTTCCCACTGTCTGTCTGCCTGCCTGAGTCTGCTAAGGCACAAGTGATGGTGGCTGACTCCCTAGCTATACGGCAAGCTCAGAAAAAAGTCTTTGTTTTTTCTCATTTGGTTGGTCATTACTTCCATAGCTGTGTGGTTTAAACATGCTCTGTAGGCCAACTGGTTCCCAAATCCATTCACTTAAGAAACATTTATCAAAGCCTTTAATATGAGCCATATCCCTTGCTAGGTGCAGGAGTAAATTAAAAAAAGGTAAGATATAGTTCCTGCCCTAGAGGACAGTAAGTAGCTTGACAACTAAGGGGATGAACATGAATGACTCAGCAACCAAGCCGATGGGCATTACTGTGCTGGGCAGTGTTCTCCAAAAAGTGGTCTGCTAACTTCTGGTTACACGAGATAACTTCCAGGAAGTGGAAAGGGTTGAACGTCTTTACTTTAATAGTTGTAAACTTGAATGCAGATTAGAAAAAGCAGGGTTTCAAGCCGTACGGAGCCCATGATTTCAGATATTACTGCTGTAGGATGAGTCTGTATCTGTCAAAATCTAGTCAGGAGATAAAAGCCATCCTTATTTTAACAGGGGAAATCTAATATAAATAATTGTTAATGGGGTACTAAAAAGCTAAAAAGGCAAAAAGAGAACGCTTAAGGTTATCATGCAGGAAGCTGCCACTCTTAGGGAAGAGGCTGAAATTGTTCAATTTTAGAAGCTTGGAGGGCCCTGGAGAGCTGAAATTCAAGACCTCTGACAAGAAGTTGCTGCTCAGGGTCTCGCCTGGCGGTCCAGTGGTTGACTCTGCCTTCCAGTTCAGGGGGTGCGGGTTTGATCCCTAGTGGGGAGCTGAGATCCCACATGCCTCGAGGCCAAAAAACCAAAACATAAAACAAAAGCAACACTGTAATAAATTCAATAAAGGCTTCAAAAATGGTCCACATTAAAAAAAAAAAAAACAACTTAAAAAAGCTGCTGCTCACGTAAAACCAGTGTCTCTGAGCTGAGTGGGGGGCCCTGTGGGCCAGGGTACCAGGCAGACATCTGAGGGGCACCAAGTGTTATCAACAACTGTGACTGGAAAGCCATCCTTTGCTGGGGTGAAGAGGTATTGTTTGGGGGGGTGGGGGGTGGGCAAAGGAAGAGGAAGCAAAGAGGAAGCAGACAGGAAGGGCCAAGCCCTTTCTTCCCCCTCTAGCTTTGCTGTCTACTTCTGGGCTCCATCGGCTGATCCTAGTAAGGAGGCAGCTGGCGAATGAGAAACGGGGTTTGCCTAGTGCCAGCCCAGCATCAAAAGCTGAGTATAGAAGAGTGTTTGAATCTGAGAAACAACAGGTTAATATTTGCAAGTCTGTCCCTTGGGCCATTCAGCATACACGTGCGCGTGAACACATGCACGCACACGCACACTTCTGAACGTGATTAAACTTCCCAGAAGAAAAACTCCATTTCTACCTAACAAATTGCAAACATCCTTTGTACAAAAGATGTTCTCACTCGTTCTCCAAAATCCCAGCAGACATTGTATCCGTTTCTGGGAAACAGTTACACATTCATCTTATCTCCTGTCAGTTACACCTGGACTTTAGTCATAGACCCATCTGAATATTCTATTATCTCAAGGCTAGGAGCAAAGTTAACCCTCTTTAAAAAAATGTACACAATAATAAGAGGACGGAGGAGAAAGAAGTTAGTACACACACACACCAAGGAAAAAAAGATGTGAAGCTGCTCCGTAATTTGTTCCTGTAATTGGTCGCAAGGCTGTAAGGGTCGCAAGTTAATAAACTTCATTCTTTCCCTACACACTCCACGTTTCCTCTTTCCTCAGCCAGCATCTCAACTGCTCAGGGTTGACACCTGCTAGGGTGACCCAAGACTTCATAACCTAAAGGGTTGAAATCGTTCCCACCTCTGAGGTTGTAGTTTTTCATTAAAATTTGTCATTGGACAGGGAAGTGCTAAGAAAGATGCCCTGGAGAATGCTCTGGGTTTGACATCCTTCTTCATCACCCATTGTGTAGGAACAAAACACATGTCCCTTTGTTCCCAAGATCACATGCACCAGCCAGGAGAGTAAACTTCTTTGCCCACTGATTTACTGGTAAAATGACCAGATTGTTTCAATTTCAGTCTTAATGGGACCACTGTTGTCCTCCCTGGTGGGAGCACACCTTCCTTGGGAACCCAGATCTCCAAACAATGGAGGTCAAAATTGAGGGACAGGAAGCAAAATGCCTAAGTGGGTTATTGGGTGTAACAGTGAGAGGAGCCACTCCCTCTGCCTCTGTTGATTCCAGACCATACATTCTGACCATGATGAGAGCAACAGTCCCATCTGAGAGGTCAGTGGTTCAAAACATAAATTACATTTTGTAAAATGGAGTGTTGCACCCCACCTAGGGCCATGACCGAATCTTCAGTAGACCATTCCACCATCCTATTACACCCACTGCTCCTGGGTGTTGGGGTATGTGCTAAGACCAGTGAATTCCAGAGGCACAAGCCCACTGCTCCACTTCTCCTATTGGGAAATGGGTTCAGCTATTGGAAGTAAGGCTGTGCAGAATATCATGAGGGATTCCACAAATCCACGATTGTGGTGCCAGCGAAGCACTGTGAAAAACTTCAAGCTTCTGCCCGAGGATGTAGGGAGCCAGGAGGTGCACTGTCCTCACCTTCACAATGAATTAGAGTCAGATTAACTTCAAAGTCACAACCTTTTCATAACTCAGAACTGAGGTCACAGAGCAATCTGAATCTAAGGAGATTCAGAGAGAGAGGAGAAATGCACCTCATTTAATTTCTGGGAACATAATTAGATGAAATAAGTATTTCTTAGATGTCCTAGGTACATATCTCCAGACGGAGAGACACATCTACACACTTAATTCCATGGGCTTCTGTATTTACTACTTGGAATAAGGTTCAGATTAGGATATGGTCTGCTTGGCGGTAAATTCTACTGGGCTGAACTATCAAAAATCGATAATTGTTTTTGACCCATGAAAGGCAATTTCTTTTTTTTTTTTTTTTTTTGCGGTACACGGGCCTCTCACTGTTGTGGCTTCTCCCGTTGCGGAGCACAGGCTCCGGATGCACAGGCTCAGCGGCCATGGCTCACGGGCCTAGCCACTCCGCGGCATGTGGGATCTTCCCGGACCGGGGCATGAACCCGTGTCCCCTGCATCGGCAGGCGGACTCTCAACCACTGCGCCACCAGGGAAGCCCAAGGCAATTTCTTACGGTTCAACCTAATACATCACCATATTCTAAATTAATGGCTGTTTTTTAAAAGTTACTAATTGGACAAAAGCTCCAATACTGAATTAGACTAAAATTATTATTTGAAAGTATAAGAGAATGAAAAAGTACATGAAAACAGGTATTTATTACAGAACAATCTTTTTTCTTAATTAATTAAAGGCTTTAAACAAAAAAACATAATTCCACACACTGACATTGACTTGGTAGCATGGAAATATTTCAGCCTGGAGAGGCATGTTTGTTCTTGATGAATTTACATATAATAAATTCTCATGACATTTGATTCCGAAATATATGTATGAACTGACTTGACATGATTATAAACATAAGGGCAATTTAAACACTGGTATCAGTTTACATGAGTCAATTCAAGGTCAGTGACTGGAGAACTATATTAAAAAAATCTGAGATAAAAAATTTTTTAGGAAGCAACCACGTACCTATGTACAGTTGAAGATCAAGGGTTAAAAATCCACTCTTGATGAATACTATTAAGCAAAGGATGTATAACATCCAACACACATCTGTTCCAAAAACAGCATGTTTCCAAAATTATACATTTCTTTACAAATAAACATTACAGCATTAATAACTATAGAGGAACCAACAGAATGAGTTCCAAAATGTGCTAATTCTCACAAGGCATCCCTGAGCCATATCTTAAGCCATCAGTTTTAATCTTGGGGTTTTAAGAACATCTTCTTTGTTTTAATTGGTTTTATGTCTCCATTTTCATCTTCTTCATAATTGACACGGTCTCTTTTTTTGGCAAACTTTTTCCCAATTGTCCCCACCAAGGTCTCGTATCTGTTAAGATGATATACAGAACAAGTTTAGTTTCAAATAAAAAAGGTAGGAATCAAGACTTGTCAAGAATATCAAACCAAGTACGTAACAAAGAATAAGAAAAATCAAAACTTTGATTAAAAGAAACCATCTGATTTAAAATTTATGAACTTCTCTATGAACGATTAAATTCTTCACTGTTTTTGTTTTTCCATTATCCTAAATAAACTGAGATGTATATTTTAAAATATGTATTAGAAGCAGCACTAGAAATAAGCCCTCAATTTGCCAGCCTGTGACAGGTATAAATCCACCCCAGGCCGTGTTAGAAGATGACTAAGCCAAGATGACTTTCTGCTGGGGTACTCCCTTCAAAGGTACGGTAGACCAGTCACCATGCGGAAAGAGTGCACATGTGAGAGCCAGTGAATGCTGGGCTCAGATTATAAAGCTGGTCCAAGGTAACAGTTACCTTCTAGCCATTTCTTCATCTGACACATCGAGCTCCACTGTTTCCTCTTCAACTTCCTCTGCTTTGTTCTTAGCATTCATCTGAAGCATTAATTTCTGAAAAATACAACAATGGGGACTAGCAGGGCTGGAAAAAGCTTGTTAAAGGAACTGGTGTCAAACGTATTTGAAGGTAGAGACACAGAAGCCACAGAATCTACAGGACTAACCAAAATTTATAAGGGATTCTCTATAATACTTTATTCTACAATAAGCAGATAGAAGCCAGCTCTGAATTAAAATAATAATAAGACAAAGTTCCACTAGATTAGACTTACTGTTAATGAATTTAAATGTATTTTAGATCATAAATTTATTAGTTACTTGTATCTAAAGCAGGCACACTGCTGACACACTCTAGTGACTGGGGGAAAGAAGAAGTAAACTTTCAGATACCCTTTGAACTTCCCAACTTTGAGCCAAATGGGAGAAACACTATAGTCAAGAGTAATTTTAAATGTAGTTTTTGGTGGTGGTTGAGGAAGGGGAGCAGCAAACTGCTGGAAGAACTGGAAGGCTGGCTCTGGTATAATTGGGAGACCTTCCTCACCCCTGAACACGCGGGTGGATAATGCACTGATTTCCACATGATGTCCACGCGTCATGGGTCTCTCCTTCATTTCTTTTTCTCACGTTAACCTTTTCTTGATAGTTATCCTCTGACAGACTTAAAAAAAAAGTACACTACCTCTTATCACTAGAAACACATAGATATTAAAAAATGTGTTCTAAGTTCATCCTGCTTATAATAAAGTAAGTACTCTCAAGTTGGTATCATTCTTTTTATAGCCAGGTACGTTGAACTTTTCTCACAATTTATGACAGCTCAGGCCTGCAAGCCAAACAGTTCAAAACCTTTCCCAGAGAGAATATATTCAGTGTTACAGAGTGCCAGTGATTAAAGTCATTTTCTAATAACTTCCCACGTCAAATTTGGAGGGCCAGATCAACTCCTTTTCCCACTGTATCAGACATACTTTGGAGTCCCTGCCTGCCCAATACCCTAGTCTCTGGGCATCATCCACTCATAATCTTTGCTATCTTTTTTTCCCTTTTACCCCATTGTCCTCTTTGTCTTCCTAATCTAAAGCTTAAGCAGGCCAAAACAAGGAAATATATTAAAAACAAACACTTTGTGTTGATTCTGTGTAAAGTAAATTTAACACCTTAATTATCATATCCCCTCAGAAAAGGAAGAGAAAGAAAACCAACCTACAATCTTTAAATAAACTCTGGCATTTAGTTTGGTTAACTGTGGCTCCTATAAGCATCCTGAGAGAACTGGTTTTCAACCGGGTATGATTTTGCTTG